CTAAAGCTTAAAAATATTCTCGAAACACAGTCGGTTTTTAGAGAGGTCCTTGGGTTTATTAGGCGCACTTAAAACACGGAGAAAGCGGGTATGCGCCCATTAGGAAAAACTGAATAGCCCTCTAATAAAACAAGCTAGGTTTTCCTCACGAACACGGTCATCTATCCACGATGGTAGGAGACTTCCTACTCATCCTTTCGAGCAGTAGTGCAGGTCATGACCAATCGACACCGCGGTTCGTTACCCTCACTTTTCCTAACGAAAGTGGGAACAACGAATCCGCGTTCTTTAGGCACAGGAGCACACCCACACCGAACTTTTCTTCCGTATTAGAAAAAGAGCAACAGTCAGTCTAAAACCAACGCCTAACGCGGCAGTCTACACATAGCGCGAGAGTCGCATACTTCACGCAAACTTTTGTCGGTTCTCGGTGTTGTCGAACATACATCTCCTCTCCTAAATATATTATAGTGCTACGTCCACTAATACGTTAACTTCCATTATAAGAGTCCTGCTCTAGCGTACCTAGCATATCTTCGTGCGAAAAGTTGTTATCTATGTATCTCTCTTCGACGGTGTAATCTAAGTGTTGGAAATATATAATTTATAATTCTGTGAATCACAGTGTCATACAAACTCAATCACCCCTATTATCTCAACGGAAATCAGGGGATCGATCAATTCGTGGTGTCGATTGTTATAATCGTAACGGGAATTAACGACTCACGTTGACGTCTCTCCTCGCGATTACGTCCCCCGCGATTGGTCGAAATTACACATACTTTCACCAATAACAAGAAATAGTAAGGACAAATATAGCTTCAATGTATACGGTCATCACAATGAAATGTGAATTACCTTCTGCAGATCTAAAATATTAAACGTGAAACGATGATCTTAATTCGGAATAGATTATAGATACACAATCTGTTCGTTTCTTCCTTTCTTAGCAATGATCTGTTCCATTGTCAAACAAATATTTCCTCCAGTAGCCGAATGTTTCGACCAATCGCGGGCAGACGCGATCGCGAGAAAGCACGTCAACGGCGGTCGTAAATTCCCGTTACGATTGGATAATCGACGCCACGAAATGATCGATCCCCTGATTTCGGTTGCGATAATAGGGGTGGTTGAATTGATTTTACACTGAATTAACGAATATAAATAATGTTTATTCAAACAACTTTTTGACTAGAAATATACAATTAAATTCGATTGATAGCTAGAGTAAGAA